GGTTAATGAAAAAAGCTGAAAAGGAAGGCTTGTAAGCATTGTTCGCTGCAGTGCCTCATTCAGCACGTGAAGTCATAATTTACAACTAAAATGTCAACCCAACGGCACATGCGAATCTTTATAAATATAAATTGCAATACTTGAGACTATACTGTACATGCTTTAGTATCTGGGTCGATGAAACTTCTTTTACCATAGAATTTTTAGTGATTCGCATTGCTTGATAATTGTCGCATATATACTTACAGGCCTATCAAAAAAACTTTCAATACTTCTAGAGCAAAAACTAAAACAAAACGATAGCACAAAAGGCTCCTAAAAGCGCAGATCCTATGAAAAGTGAATACATACACATTATTAAAAACATTGACTGCATGTGACATTGCCTTTCGCAGGTTCGCAATATTTAAATATTTAAAGTATTTGATTTGGTTTAGTTCGAACCAAAATATTTTCTACGTGTATAGCTTTTGCTAATGTACATTGTACAAGATCACACGTGGATATCGTCCTCCTTTCTGTGGATATACGAGTATTCTTCCGGTCTCTTAAATACTTCAACACTCTGCATGCCGGTAAGGTTGCATTTTAATATTGAAGTAGGTACTTTGTTTGAGAAATGGATATACTAACCAACTAAGTGCTAATAGCTAATATAATGCGGATAAACCCAGAAAGGTTCTAGTTGTGGTATGGTAAAGTTTGGTGAGCCGTTTTGTTTTCATAACACACTGAAAGCGACTCCATCAAAAAACAGGAACATGCGCTGCGCATTCACGATAGTTCAAAATCACAGATGGTGTTGACAAAATTGAAAAAGTCTGGCACGAATACTCATATCTACCAAAAGCAAATATCTGCATACTATCTGTTGTGCTGTTGGTCATTTGAACGTCTCTTACGAGAAACGCTGAGAGAAACAAGTGACGAAATAATTAGGAGTGGCTAGGTAATAATCTAAGATATGCAAACGATCCGGTTCTTATCGTTTATAGTGTTGAAGTATTACAAAGTAGTTCGTACCGGTCAAAAATATGGAGTGAAACTTATTAGCCAGAAAACAAAAATTCTAGAGAAACAGATGCAAGGTTTATTGTAGACAACGAAGTATTGAGAAGAACTGCAAAATAACTTATCTGGGATACAAGATCACATACAGTTGGGAATACTTACATGAAATTTGACATCATATTGAAAAAATGAGGATTGCTTTACAGGTGATTAAAAAGGTTGTGTTCTAAGCATAAGCCTCTATCTATGGCTCTTTATCTTAAAATTTTAAAAAATCGTTTTCCGTCTTTATGTATAGTGCAGAGCCGTGGACACTTAGTGAAACCAGTAGGTTTGTGGTAACAAGCCTTTGAAATGCGGTAATATTGTCAGACCTTAACAATATGGCCTACCATGTTACTAGCGATACAGTGACGCAAGGCTTGCAAAACGAGCCATTAAATAGAGAAGTTTGACACATAGCGAGGAACGGCAACAAATACAGAATTTTCCAACTCGTATTACAACGAAAGATAGATTGTAAAGGTATCCAGGATTTGTCTGCATATCCTGGTTTAAGAATCTGAGACAACGAATAGGTCACCGACATCAAGTGGGGATAGGTACTGGTAGAAGGAGAAGACTGAACAACAGTTATGGTACTTATGAGCTGCAGCGTGTCGTCGGGGAGCATGCGCAATTATTACGTGCTGGTAAAACATGGCAATTCGAATAAAAAATTGAAACAAATTTTCCCTAATGTTCAAGTGGTGATCCGCATACGCCCAAAGTGTACCCAGCAAATGTTTTAAATTAATCGATAGCAGGCCTAGCGGCGTCTCCGAATATGTTTGGGTATATGTATTTGAATGGCAAATCAGCTTGGCCCACGGCTATTTGGTGGCGACTGCTATACTCAAATTTACATTTCAGCTTCCGTCCCACCCTTTTGCCGACTAACAGTAATTGACACTCGGCAAACACCCTGTAATGCGCCCCATCCCCTCCATAAATATTAATGGCCGTAATCGCCGGCCGTACTGACCCATTTCCCAACAGAAAACAAAACCAACTCTACCATGCCGGCAGCAAATTGACCAGCGACATGCCTCAGACACGTCGACCTCTATACGTGCCACCAACTCCGTTCTACTTACACTGATTGCCGATCAGAAATTAAAAAGTCATGAAATGCCGTAATTTTTTTAATATGGCCCATATGGAATTCCCCCGAGAGCCGTGACTCTGCAGCGTGACTAAGAAGTATAGCGTGGCATAAATATGGTGGATAATAAGGATATCAATTACGTTTTTAACAGTAGAAGAATGTTCTGGGTACTAACAATGACTATGGTTTAAAAAGCAACAATCGCAGCGCAAGGAGAACTATCCGCAATAACATAAATACCATTCTCGGATACAAAAGCTCAATTCACTCACAAAATATATCAAGAATTGGATAGGGAATCTAGAAATCCAAATTTTAAGCTCTTAGGCCCGTATCGTCAGTCGTCCCTACAATTGTAGGGCGCGTTTATGGCCTCCTTGATTGTCATACTCCTTTCTTTCCTTCAAAAATTTCTAGATTACACTTGTCCCGTGTCAGCGTCAGCGCTCTCCTATTGTGAAGATATGTTTTCTTTTTAAATTGTAGGAAATTTCAGGCTGATAAAACATGATATAACTCAAAAGCAAGCACAATTTGATGCAAATTGATGTTTGTGACATAACCTCAAAATAGACTTCTGACAGGGAGAAGTAGAAAACTATGACAATCAAGGAGGCCATAAAGGCGCCCTACAATTGTAGGGACGATGACGATACGGCCCTTATAGCTCAAATCATCTATGGGACCATGGCAAGAATCGAAGACATCAAATTAATAATGATAACCAGACTACAACCCGGACACACCCAGCTCACTCATCGATACCTTTTCAACAGACCACCAACCTGTCAAAAAACATACACCGTTAAACATATCTTATTGGGGTGCCCATTACTAGAAAGTGAAAGACTACAACGTAATATTGACGGAACTCTACTGGATATTATAGGGGAGATATGTCACGTGAATCAACTGCTTACGTATTTAAAAGAAATTAATGTTCTACATAAGATTTAATAACATCCACCGCTAATAACCTGTAAAGGTTGATGCGGTTAGTCCTTTGAATAAAAAAAAAATACTACGGTTTCATCAGATAAGGGTGCATCGTGATATTCGTATAGGGAATGTAAGCGTTGTATACAATAGCAGGGAATAGCTGTAAAAGTAAATATGGATACTAACATACTGCTTTCGTGCAGTCAACCAAAGACAGTCAACCATGGATAGCTGTTTCGTGCTTTGTGGCTATTCATCGGCATTGTCTAGGCTTGACCAATTGCTTCTGGACAACGAACGAATAGCATAACTGCTGTCCTTTATGGAAAGTATGAGATCTATCGGAATGAGATAGCATAGAGTATACTAGAATTGAGCACTCGAGAGTGCAAGGCAGCTATTGGTTGGAACAGTAGTTTCTGTCCACATTTAATAGCCCAGTCACCACTGAAGCCGCTAGATGGCCGACGATTCTAGCTGTACGTAAATATGGATTACTTGCCATCGAAAGATGTTTCAGGCTTTTTGGATACTCATCAGCACGGTCTAGGCTTGGTCGATCAATTTATTATTAAGGTATACAAACTTATAGTTTCAAATAAAATATATAAGGCAAGCACAAATTTTTAACATAGCGCGTCGGTAGCCTTCGGAGAAAGTCAACGTACCTGTGTGATTTCAATTTAGCTAAATTAGACAAATTTTTCTACAGATACAAGCAGTCGATGGAACCCTTTCTCCCATCACACCAAGAAAATGAGCCCTAGTTCGTCAACTTCCTTATTTTTACCACCATTGTATAATTGTAAGCACCGTTATATGCATTGTAAACACAGTTGTATACAACACCAATATATTTTATACACCATTGTATACATTGTATACACCATTGTATACATTGTATACTACACCATTCTATACATTGTATAGACATTATCATTGTATACATTTTATACACCATTGTAGACATTGTATACTCCGTTGCATTGTATACATATTGTATACATATTGTTTACATTCTGTACATTGGCTACACGTACGCTACATTGAAGCGTTGACAACGTATATGCGTAATCGCGAGAGACACATGCGGTGAAGAATTACTTCCATACATTCGATTTCTCTCTTGGTATAAATACTCTTTAATTACTGTCGATGTCCCAAAAAACCAAGCGAAGCTATCAAAAATCAAATAAGAAGCTTCAGCCTTTTACCGCCACACTCTAAAATCTATGAAAAAGAGCTGTTGTTTGCGTAGATAAATTAAATGAGATATAAAAGAGTTCTTCTGCCAGAAAATTGATTTACTTGAAACTAATATTCTGAGATGTTCAATGTCGTTACCCTTTCATGTTATATTTAATAAATCTCGCGAAGACTTGCTATCATGTAGTAACAAACATCAGATATGCGTTGACTGATTTGTTCTTACCCAATAGCGATTACCTTGAGAAGTGTGGGGCAAGGCGGTGTCAACAGATACCAATGAGCATGATATTATTTTTGTTATAATGGGGTATTCACCATCGATTCACGTATCCAATATCTCCATGGGTGGGTTAACGAACTATAGAGGTTTATTTGGCTGCGGTTCTATGTCCGTTTTCATTAACTTGATGATGATTGCTCTCTTTCCGATGAAATAAATAAACTAAAACAAATTAGTAAGACAAGGGTCGTTCCCCTTCCAGTGTAAACAACGCAAGTCGTATTGATTGGTCATAATAATGAATTAAAGGTTTACCGAGATATGAGACGTTCATAGCAAAAATACAGAAACGTATAGAGTTGTATGAGGGTGTGGGATTTAGCTGAAAGTACTTATATTTAGGAAACTAATTTGAGAAAGCGACAACTTACTTTGAGGGCAGTCTTTATGATTGAATGACTTTTTTTCCTACAGGGAAATCTGTGGAGTAATTCAGAAGCCCTGGATAACCTCATCAAAATGCTAAAGCAGCCCAGTACTTTTGAAACTTTAGAAGCACCTCCATCTGCTCTACTGTTTGAGGCACTGTTTGCATGCAAGAACTTCGACAAAATACATTTTTTAGTGGATGTGAGTAGTCGTACTGTGTTAAATCTCAACTATATCTTGTCCCTTTTGAATAAACCGTTCCAAATATATGATATGTTAGGTTTTTAGTATTTGAAACGTATAAAAAACTGCAATAATTATTAGAATTATAATTACGTTTTGCCCAAACTACTTTCATGATTTGCCAATTCAACATAAATTAGATATTACGCTAGGGACATATACGTACTTCCTTTAGCTAGCGGTTGATGTACAAACACTTTTTTCGTTTGTGGCTTACGTCTGCTGATGTAAGGCTCTGCTTTCAGGATGCGCTGGTTTTGCTGATAAAGGGTTTACGAAAAGATGTATTGGAGCAATGTCTAAGTCGCCTAGCAGTAGGAATATGTAAAATTGGAGCGCCTTCGGGAGTCAGTTTAGCAATGATGATTACGAAAGTACTACCTGCTGTCAAGCTTCAACATGAAATCATGGAAAAGTGTTTTGTGCATAGACTCCGTGAAGGTAAAGGTCGGAAACATATAAAGTAGTAAATAAATTGAATATTATATTGTACAGCAAATGTGCAAAAAGTTAGATTTGTTGGATACAGATATGAATACAATATTAAGTAACGCAGATAGTCGAAATCAGAGAGAAAAACTTCCTTTCATCTTAATACTTACTTATTATAGCAGCATAATAAATGAAATTTAAGGGTAGTAAGAACAATCATAGTGCTTATGTGCGTAATATTCTAATTACTACGTTTGGAATGCAAGAAATAAGAACCATCGATTTTGCAATTCGAGCGAAAAGTTTTTGTACGTCAAGATAAAAACCTTTCAATTTACCTTCAAGAATATTCATCTACATATTCTCTTCTTCTGAAATTCTAGATATTCTGGTGAGGTAATAACGTTTGTTATTGAACTACAGCAACTTTTAAAAAAATTCTTGATGCCAAAGGAAGTTTGAGATTGGTTCTAAACAAGATTTTGTGTCTAGGCGCTTTACAGACATTGCTCGCTTTTGCGAGATTGCTACCCCGAAATGAGCTACTCGTACCGAAAATGACAGAATTTACAGCTGCGGCCCTGAGGGACAGAAGGAGAAAAGTACGGCATGCAGCTTTGGAAATGTTGGCGACTCTAGCTGCTCTCTCCTCAAACACGGAGGTATTGGATATGGTAACGAGAGTGACAAGTAACTTTCCAGAGCAACAGTATCTACTCAAAGTCGTCCGTACCAGGTAGGTACCGGATTTTGGTGAAATGGTAGGTACCCAAGAGTTGTGGAATTTTTTCATATAAACATTATAGAATTTTCATTTTCATCCCTAGAGTATGACTTTGTATTATAATGAAGCACCCGTGCAGGCAAAAATCTACCTAACAGGGACTGCTATAAGGAACTTAAAGATACCTTATTAATCAGTAGAACTGGGAAAGACCTCCTCAAGGAGATATTGCTACAATCTCGACACCCTAGGAATAAAGGAGCGATCGTATCGGCCTGTTCTCAAGATACCAAGTTCGAAAGAGTTGAGATAGATGGCAGAAGCCTGGCAGATCCGTCTGGCAGGCTCAACGCGCAACGCTATCATGGAGGGGAGCGGTAGAAGAGAGCTAGATCGCCGATCAAAGTGGAAGGGTCCCGAGACCGTCCGTTAGAGCAGTGTCATCGATCAGTAGAACAGCCGTCCTTTGAACAGCATTGAGTAGTCGGGGAGGCAGAACCCTGAATATGTGAGCAGTACTCGAGGCAAGGTCTTACCTGGTCCTTCTAACAGTAAATGCCAAACTCTCTCTTGTAGAGATTCTAGTGAATCTCAGCAACTGGAGAAATTTGGGTCACTGAGTTCGAGTGTCGCGCATTTGAAGAAGAACGTGAGACTTTTTAAGTATTTCGCCAATCCCAGTTAAACGTCAGCGTTTACCCAAGAGACGGTCTTTAAGATAGTGAATTCCAATGATTTTGAAAAATCTTTTGCTTAAACTTTATAACTGTCCAATAGGGACGCAGGAAAGTAAACGTCAATTTGACATAGACGCCATCTTTGTTTTCTGCCACCGACATGTCATTTTGTTAGTTGAATGTTTATGCCTACAAGATCCAATTGACGCAAGAGCTGCGTCGGGCCGACCATTTTTCGCGCCGAACGTTCTCAGATTGGCTCCTTGAACACCGCCAAATTGATGCCAATTTTTCATCAAAAATCATTTTCAGCGACGAAGCGAATTTCACTTTGAATGGGACGGTAAACAAGCAAAACTGCCGCATCTGGGCGAACGAAAATCCCCGTGAGTATCAAGAGCAGGCGAAGCATCCTCAAAAAGTGACTGTGTGGTGTGCATTGTGGTCAAAAGGCATCATCGGACCTTACTTTTTCGAAAATGCGGCCGGGGACGCCGTTACCGTCAATTCTGAGCGATATCTCGTGATGATAGAGGACTATTTTTTGCCGCAACTTGAAGGAATGGATATGGACGATGTTTATTATTTCCAACAAGACGGTGCAACATGCCACACAACCAACGTCAATATCCATCGATTGCAGTCCTTCTTCGGTGATCGCGTGATTTCGCGCAGAGGAATGCCATGGCCACCAAGATCGTGCGATTTGACTCCCTTGGACTTCTTTTTATGGGGATATTTGAAAAGCAAAGTCTACGTCAACAAACCAGCCACCCTCCAAGAACTCAAAAACAACATAATTGCCGAGATAAATGCCATAGAACCGACCATGTTGCAACATGTCATTGAAAATTTCGACCATCGCGTGGACGTCTGTAAATCCAGTCGTGGTGAACATTTGAGCGATATTATTTTTCATACATAAATGGTATAAATGAACCTTCAAAATAAAGTACCCAACTTGATTTGAATATCAATCTTTCTTGTTTTAATATGCGTTTACTTTCCTGCGTCCGTTTTGGACAACCCCATATTATTTTACGTTTGTCTTCCATAATCACACGCAAACAAAATTTTATACCCTGGGATAGTTTAGGACGCTGGTGGTAGTGGTCAATGCTAATCGCCGTCAGTTGCGCTGGTTTGAATCGCATCCCAGGAGAATTTTTCTGTATATTATAGATGTTGTGACTGTCCTTGGCTGGCACATCTACATACGTATTCCGCTAGGGTCTATGTGACGTACCCCCCCCCCCCCATTTCCCCTGTATCTCCCTATAGCCGCACTCTCAAGTCTTAAGCCTGCGTGGTAGATTTTTGGGCCTACCAGTCGGTCTGAGCCGGAAAGAGCTACCAGGTTCGTAATCTACGTACTCGCTTTACCCAAAGGACGAGTTTTTGTTAAGTCCACAGATACTGAAAGATTTCCCAAAATTTTCTTGAACAGTCATGAACCGCTTCTCAAAGGGTAGGTGCCCTTCTGCAGTAGCCCTTAAAAGCACTAAGGGAAGCAACATTTATGTGTAGACATTGGTTTAATAAACGAATGTCAACAGCGGTGTCTTAAAACGACTTTCTCACAAACCAACACTTATCTGAGAGCCATCTAACTGGAGCATTGAATCTTCTAACAAACCCCACGTCCGAAAAGATACCGATGTGAGAGTCAACCGACCACCTCGCGGACCGAGACCAGACAGATGTATGCATAAAAAAGTTCTGGACGGAGCTCAGCAGCCTGTCCACAAACTCATTTTACTCATTTCCATTTTCGTATCTCGTTGTTCCAAGGAATTGAAACTTGGTACCCCACGCTAACATGAGCAACATTATCATTAGTACTCTGTATGCGATTTTTCGGATGAGCTTCCGCAACGGCGAGTATGTTGAGTAGACAACTTGAGAAAAACGAAAAATGGGCGCCGACAGGATTTGAACCCGCATCTTCCGTGGATCTGACCTAACCAATTGTTCTACTGCACCAGCTTCTTTCAGGATCGGCTGTTAGAGGTAAATTCAAGCCTACCCACGCCACTGTTCCACTGTTTTTTCGAGCTGCTTTATTCACCGTGTGGTGTGGTTCGAATTCTGCCGGTGCCCATTATTTCTGTCCCTCAAGTTGTTGTTTACTAAATTATCAGTATTTTTAGGTTGTCAAGAAAGCAGCTGCCAGCGGTTGACATCAACGGTACGGTACGTTATTCAACTCCAAGAGACCAAACTGAAGTAGAGTGGTTATCAGGAAGTAGTGGAAACGGCAGTTCTCCACCATCTTCATCTGCGTCATCATCCAATCATTCTGTCAACTATTGGAAGTACCACTCCAGGCAAGATGGTGAACAGCTTGACGGACTTGACTTATCAAATCAGGTACTAACTACACTTAAACTAGTACCAATACAGCTGAAATACTAAGGTTAAGCAAAATAGGTAATATTAGTGAAAAGTCTTGGAATGTCGCATACTGTTACTTGTACAGGGTGTTCCTGAATGATATGCGAATATTTAAAGGTGTGAATTTACATGAAAAATATAATGTTAGTTTGCTTTATAAACTATGGTCCAAAAATGTTTCCTTACAAAAACTCGGGGTGTTGAAGTTTTAGGAAAAAAAATGGAAATTAATTAATATTTTCAGAACCGCTTCAGATATTTCACTGATATTCAGTACATAGTGAAAGTTAATAAAGTTGCATATTTTTCAATGCAAAAATAATGTTTAGCTTGAACAGTGGCGTGCGTACGGGTATTGGTGTTGTGCCAAATAAAAATTATTTTTGAATTCCCCGTTTAATTTAAAACAAATGAATTGTCTTCTTTTGATGCGCCATCTTTGAGTAAAAAATAAAACCCTTGAATATTCGCATATCATTAAGGAACAAACACCCTGTATACCTAAGCATGAGATTGTACCTACCTTAACCAATTTCCGTTTAACAGGAAGATGTATGAACCTTGCCAGTAGACTTTTTATTTTAAATATGCTTATATGCTTGATCAAATTACTGAAACAAGCCAGGATTATCTGCTTAGAACTAGGAAATACAACTAACTCACGATGGTCAGGGTTCTACTCGATTTTTACCGAGTATACTGACTTGGTCGATCTCTGCGTAACAGAATAACGTGGCAGTATTTCTAGAATAGGAGGTATATCAAAAAATGTAAAAAAATATTCTATAAACATAAGTCCTAAGATTTGCCATTCCCAAAAAACTGGGTATTGTAAATTCTTACGCCACTGCTAAGACTGAATGAAGACAAAATATGACCATTTACGAATAACGCCATGCTGAGTCAATATTACACCTAATAAACGATATACAATTTTCAGTCAAACTTAACTTTAGCGTATTATCAAAGTAGCAAGGGCTTTCTATAGGAACTTTGCCTCACATATTCAAGCAAACTACTCCAAATAAAACTTTTATGGCAAAAGACTCTCAAGATAGGCGATTCATGTAAAGTTGAATCTCTTATTCAAAAACATAATATAAGTTTCTGAACATCTAAACAGTTAGTTGCCTAGAAAATTATTTATTTTTTATGGAGGGATGGAAATATCCCAAATTTCTACGCCACTTGTATATTCCCAGACACAAAATTTCTTGTTTGTCCAGACCTGTCAGTACTAAATGTACAAAATTTTAAGTCAATATAATATAGATCCCATCTGAAGATATAATTTATTTTCAACTTTATCATGCATCTCAGTAAGGGGGGAAAACGGGCCAATACGATCACTCCTTTGTTCTTACCAATTTACCAAAGTAGTATTTCGTATCCCAATAGCGGAACTCTGATGTTTAAGCTCAACGTTGTTTTAGCATGTTGCTTTAAAAATGGTGGCATGTGTATACCTTGAGATATGTGCTCCTTCACCAAATACTGATATACTCTACGAATTATGGCGAATGTGCTGATGTTTCACAGATAAGACCTTTTATGCAGTTTTGGCTTTGTGCTTGAGTTCTTCACATCAGTTTAAACAATTATTTCCAACCAAAATACTGATACTAAGTATAAAACTAGTCCACTGTATAATAGTCAGCTGCGCATATAGAAAGCAGCAGTGATTTCACTACGGCAGAAGCCATAAAGATGGGAAACGGCATCGCGTTAGTGACGTCACAAACTGTTGAACATGCAATGTCACGAAAGGGCGATTTCTGGCAGGAGACCCCACACGAGGAGGAACTAGATAGTTTGTTATTTTGCAACTATACATACCACAATCGTAGATGGATATTCGGGGTGTTCTGAATGTTGGGATTTTCCTTTATCGAAACAACTAAGTTTGCAATAAAAAGCGGTGAATTAACAGCGGAAACGTGAAAGAAAATTGAAAAAAGCACCCACTATTAATTTGGTCTCAACTGCTGCCCGATCATATGTCGCTCGTAAATATTGTTTGAAGTTGATGCCATTCAAAACCAGAAGACGTTAATTTCTTCCTAAAAGAACATTTTTACATGCAGGAAAATGATATGAACACACAGACAGTACCAAAGACACCGTAAACCTTGCATCAAATCGGTAGCTCTGTTATTGCTATAGGAATATGCAAGTCTAGGTTTTTCAAATCCGATTTGTAAGGTTAATCTACACACCACGCGGTGCTTGTTTGGGTACTGACGTACGTCGTACCTTTTCATGCTGGATACCGGGCCGGACTGGCCCATTCAGATTTTTATGGAACTTGCTTATCTTAGGCTCTATGTATTATTAGAAAGAATTGCATATTGTTGCATGGCCCTGTACCCTGTATAATAATTTTGATTTAAGTAAATGACAAGTAACACTTGGTTCAAGATATTTTTCCGCGGTTGCAAGTGTATCAAATACTTTATTAATTTCAACGTGTATTGGAATACGAGCAAGCTATTTTCAAACTATACCATTGACTGGGGCAAGAAAGGTTTAGGTATATTCAAATAGCAACCTAAGCTTCATCAGAATAGAATCTGGTATCCGTAGTTATCCAATCAACAGTTGTTATGGTGTGGAACAAGGAACCAGAGAAAAGATAACTTACCACTCTGCACCTTCAGCGAATGCAGTAGCTATGTACTTTTAGGCTTACATTGTCTACTTTTGGAATTACAGCTTGTCTCATTACAAGCATGAAGAACTAGAAATGATGCACAACTTAGAAAATACTCTATTAAACATATTAGCATGTAAAGCGGGCACTTACAACCTATTTGAGATAACTAACGAGAGGATGTAGGCCTGCTACTATAATATCAGTTGATCTATAATATATTCATTCTGCCCACATGCGATGATGTTATTGAAAGGAAAAATCATCAGGTCGCTTTCCCTTCTAGATATACGTGGTATGCAGTTATTATTTTTTTCATAACAAAGGTTTTTCAAACACCAAAACAAGCCATACTGTTGCAATGACGTGAGTCGAGAAAACCAGTTATACTGCATCATAAAGGCTAGTTATTTTTTAATAAACACTGCAGTTCCTGCGAATTTATAGCAAATTTTGTCTTGGTAGTAACAAGTATGATGCTTGGATGATCTTAAATCATACAAGTAGATGAATATTTGTACAGATCGATATGATTGACTATGCTGTCCAATCTCTTGAAGAGAGATTCACTGTACCGACTTTAAATCGCTCAGATCGCTTTCCCTTGTAGACATACGTGGTATGCAGTTATTTTTTTTCATAACAAATGTTTTTCAAACACAAAAAACAAGCCATACTGTTGCAATGACGTGAGTCGAGAAAACCAGTTATACTGCATCATAAAGGCTAGTTATTTTTTAATAAACACTACAGTTCCTGCGAATTTATAGCAAATTTTGTGTTGGTAGCAACAAATATCATGCTTGGATGATCTTAAATCATACAAGTAGATGAATATTTGTACAGATCGATATGATTGACTATGCTGTCCAATCTCTTGAAGAGAGATTCACTGTACCGACTTTAAATCGCTCGCGTCATCATATATACAAGTTTCAACCTAACCGAATGAAGTGTATGTCATATCTCCTATTCACCGTTATATTCCGGAAATAGCCATCTAGCCTACAACTACAATTTCTACCGTTACATCGCGTCGCCAAGGAAAACAATTGCTATCGATCAACCGGGGAAAGCGTCAGTCTATGTTCGCAGCCTACTATATGCCCCGGTCCAGTTTTCCCTTGGTCAAAATTAACATAAAATTAACGCAAGGGCATTCGAGGTTTCGGCTAAAACTAGCACTCCCGACTAGAGAGAGTTGGTGGTTAAAATTTCCATAAAAAAACTGATAAGTCGTAAGATAAACATCGTTGTGGATGAAATGTTGCTGTGTAGGCTGGTAGCCCTGAAACCCGTACCGCTGGGTGATTTGACTATAGGGGTGAGTGTATTGGAACGAACTAACTCGAATAGATTAAAATGAGACAAGCATTTATGTTACATTGCATTTTTTGTCGAAAAAATTGAGTAGTTTTAGTGTATCGTTGCCTTCCAAAGTAACAACGTTGTATCAACATAATAATAATACTAACCGGTATAAACATCTATCTTCTTTATGCCGCTCTCTATGTAAGAAGTCTCATACCCTGAAATGGTTTAATACCACAATTACCTACAAACAAACGTATTTTCAAAAGATAACACTAAAAATACGATTTTGATTACTGAACTGTCAAATAGTTAACTTATGTCAAGTAGCACTTTCATCCTGGCTTCAGGTTGACATTTTGGAGACAAAAAAATCGCCAACATGCTCCTTCTTCGAGCAAGTTCGCAAACATTCCTGGCCGCGCCTCACGCTGTGATCAAAATTAAATTGTAAATTCAGACCAGCAAAAATACAAAACCGATCAAAATTATGGAGTTACAAAATAATTCGAGTACTAGTCAAAGCAATAATGCTTAAGCTATTTCAAATGATTTACGTCTTTTCTTTGCTCTATTTCTTCCTTCCTTTCTTTCCTTATTTCCCTTTTCTCCTTAAACATGTTTGGTATCTGGGTAGCCAGAGCTGACAGACTAACAGACCGACGAGACTTTTAACTAAGAGCAAAGGTCCACCGGACCGCTCTGACGAATAATGACGAATAGTAGTATGCTCCTTCTACCTAGTTTGAATTCGTTCATTAGAATGTATCACAAATCTCTTGATTGACAATCATCCGATCTTGATTTGACGTGTACCCCTTAGGTAACATCTTCGAGAAATAAATTGACATACATTCAAGCATAAATATAGCTTCATGAGGGACGGCAATAGCATTTCAGGGGCTTAAACTTATTTTGAGGACCTCCAGTTGTATGGGGGTTGAAAAGGCGAAGTTAGCGCCGTATTCTTTTTCTAAAATTCCCTGGTACGTCATAAAACGTATTATTAGGTATTTAAGTGATACTTCTTTGAGTGCTGATAAGCTAGCAATCATCTTAGAAATAAGTACCAGTATTTTCAAGGTCGTGAAATTAAAGTATCTGAAGAGACACAATACTTCTGCATTTGTTTTCCAAAAAATACCAGAATGGAAAATACGTATAGCAGTTCGTGTACTGGAACAATTAAATAGCTTTGTAGGGTTTTCGAAAACATAAAAATTAATATAATTACGGAGTAGGTCGAATTTCTGGTCACGTCTTGTCAACACCTCCAATTTTAGTGAAAGAGGCCTAAATTGAGCGACTGAACCAAAATCTGTCTTTCATACAACTTTCTTAATTCATGTAATTTTTGTTGTTGCATTTATCAATTGAAGGTACTACAAAAAACGTGATTGCCAGTAGAGTACCAACAACCGTGAGTTTTTAAGTATAAAGCACTCCGTTTGACATTTCCTGAACTGAAGACTGGAAAAGCGTTTACAACTCTTCCTCTTCTTGTTACAGGACGACCTGATCCAAAATGGACAACAGATTTGGGCGATTGATGCAAACAGTTTTGCCAAAAATACATCTGGCAGGAGGAATGGAGACAGAGGTACGTTTTTTTTAGACGTAGGTATGTATGATAGAGCTTGGAATACAGAAAGTGATTGGCCTTCAGAAGGCTAGTTTCAGAAAAGAATATTAGTATACCCCAGCATACGCCTGCACTTTTAAAAGCAGTTTTTCCTACAATGTTGCTAGTATTCATAATAATCTCCCTAAAGTACATATAGTAGTTGAGTCATTTATTTTAACCGTGAGTAGTGAAAAGAAATTTACCTTTAACATTTTTCTGGTAAAATTAAAGTAACAAAGTTATAGCCATTTAGAAGTTTGAGTACCGCCCTGTCTCAATAATAATATTATGTGCTCGTGTTTGGCAACAAAGGATATAATCCACCTTATCGGTTCATCGCATCGGAAACAAAAAAGCGAAAGAATTTGAAACGCTTATCAGGATGTTTTTACTACAATTTTATTCAGTTGTATTCAGTCAATGTGTCAGTCGGTAAAGCGTGAGTGAATAGTGGTGTTTGTTGCGTGGGTCAGACGAAATAAAAAATGGCACATGTTTACGAAAATGCTGAACTTGCGGACATGATTCTTATTTACGGGGGGGGAGTCTTTACAAAATGCTGCCGCGGCAGCACGGATTTATGCGGATCGGTTTCCCAATCGAGTGCAACCAACCCCTCGTGCCTTTGTTAATGTAGTACAAAGGGCTCGTGAATCAGGTGACTTCAGACCTCACAGGGGAGTGCATGCCGGTGCTCCAAGACCGCACGATCAAATACAGGTCCGCACTGAAATACTTCTCGGGAGGATACTTTATAAAACAAGGTAACATTTTTTTTATTTTTTTTTTATTTTTACACACATATTTTGGTTTATCTTCCTTCTACAATCATTATCTGAAAATTAATGACTCAACTTCAAAGTATACAAAGTATATCGATGCTGTTGATAAACTTCAAAAGAAACTTTTATATTAAGAGGTACAGAATACAATATTATCCTCTATAAATTTGTTTTTCAGTCATTGAAAGAGCGCCATAAGTAATCGGCAGTTATAAATTTATACAAATTGTTGCATAGTCTGATAGAATTTCATTCAAATACAGTTTCTGGTACCACGAATAGCTTCAAGATACAATGTTACCTTCTTATACCAAAGAGCACAAACGAATTTACTGTCAAAAGCACCTGTTAAGATAGTGTGTGTGAATGCTAATAAAGTAGCCGATGTATGAGGCATATTTTTTGTAGCTTAGGTGTACTGAAGAGCAAAACTGCGGGCTCATTTGTGATTTTTCTTACCTTTCTTACTGTTTAGTTATGGCTATTTTTTTTTTGTCTTGATTTACGTACTTGTTTTCAAAATACCTCATCGTGATCTCTTATTTTTAGTAGATTGATCTGTAAATGCTGTTAAACTGTTGGACAATAAAGGCTTATTATTATTGCTATTGTTATATATACAACGTAATTGTTATTATTATTTTTATATAGCCTGCATATCCTAAGCTAGATGAGAAAGTCATCCATTCTTATATTCTCGTCTCCTGTTACCAGTACGTCAACCCCACTACGTGACTCCGCTGCAGCATCCAGAGGATGAAGTGGTTATTTCGCACCCTCGTTGAAACTGTCTGTAATCAGTAGCCAGTCAGCGCTATTCTGCGCGTATCCCATGTGCAGATAAGAAAGAGGCGTGTCCTTCTAGTGAAGTGTGATGTCCTAAAAGCCCTGTGATATTTTAGGTGATCATAGTTAGATGAAACATTGATCACGTTTATTAGAACATATCGGTTATATCGATCATTGCCTTTGAGATTACTGAACAGCTTGAAAAGCATCTCAAATCTATTTTGAGTTCGTTGTATGACCGTAGTAATTAATGTAACTACTGGAACGTTCTTTATGAATATGATAACTGCTATTTGAGTTACTATTAACTATCGAAAGGTTTTAAATAAGGGTCCAACGTTTGTCCAAATTGGCATTCATGATGATTGTAGACCTTGAAGTACTGCTAGATAAAATTTAGTGTCAGTCCTTGCTAACTTTTACAAATCATTATGTCAGGCTGTAAGAATAGATGACTCAACTTGTTTTTGAATTTGCGCTTTGAGGGTCATTTGGATGCCTTCCTCGATACAAAGTGATCTCTGACTTGGACTCTAGGACATCAAAAACCTATACATCACGGGTCTGGATTCGAATGCTAGACTTATTTTGAACTTCGAATGACCTTGAAATGATTTCTAAACTCCCTCATAGTGACTAATTGGCTTCTAATGCGAACTCAGTAACCTTCAAATATCCTCTTAGAGACAAACTAACGATTTGAAATCTGCGACCCAAAGAGCCCTGTTGTTCTGAATATTGTATAAATGCTGTAGGATCTGCAGGTTCTGACGGATTTTCGGTGTTGTGATAACACTTTTGATCAAAATGTCCTTATATTGAAGCTAATAGCTTTTCATTTTAGTTTGTTAAACATTCTTCCATCTTTAATACCTGAATGGTTTGTCATATCCCATATTCAAGTGTTACCTCTCACAGACTTACGTTTCTGTTTCAACAAAATAATTTTGAGACTGGATATGTTTTAAATGTTGGATAAAGCTGTTGACATTCCCCAAGACGTTAATACAGTGCATGCTTTGGGAAGCAATTAGAGAAACCGTCATGGGACAATCTCTCGTTTAGCCTCTTGCTTTATTGTACTAAAATAAAAATCTAATTTCGTTTTACAGTACCACCTGCCGCTGCAGTACTTCGCCCAATGTACGTGCTTCGTCCAGAAGCGGCAGTGGTACACGCGAGACGAAAATATGACAGAGGTCGGTCCTTTTCACCACCAAAGCGTCAACAGCAAACCCAGATGGAAAAGCAAGAAGTGATGCAGAGGAGAAGAACGTTGACTAGGCAGGAGAGTATCGAAGATGAAGGCGAGTATGGGGAAGATCAAGGTGAGCAAGGAAAAGCTACCAGCTTTAATACTACACTTATTTGAAAAAAAGTGAGACGTTATTGATTAAACTTGAAAGTTTACTTAGCAAAGTTAAGCATGATTTAATTAACACGTTAATAAGTTATATTAGATAATTGTTATTAAAAAGCTTTATCAAATCAGGATCCTAAGGAAAGTTGTCCATTAACAATAAAGATTTTGTTACATAATATACGGGTGATTTTTTAAGAGGTATAGGATTTGATTTAAAAAAAAAACAAAAAATTTGAAAAAACGATTAAACCTTTATTTGAGTCGATAGAACGGTCGATATAATTTAATGTTTAAAGATTATTTCATGTAAATGTTGGCCGCGGCTCCGCTTTAGATGGCCCATGCGCAAGGTCCAATTTTGGCACACTCTCTCCTACATATCGGCCGGTATCTCACGAATAAATGCTTCAATATTGGCTTCCAGTGCGTTACTCGTTGCTGGTTTATCCCTGTAGATATTAGCCTTAACATGGCCCCACAAGAAGTAGTCCAACGGTTAAATCACACGATCTAGGCGGCCAATTGACGGGCCCCAAACGTGAGATAAACTGTTCACCGAACTCGCCTCTCAATAGGGCCATTGTTTCGTGTGCGGTGTGGCATGTGGCACTTCTTGTTGAAACCACATGTGAGCCAAGTCCAGCTCTTCCATTTTGGGCAAAAAAAAGTTTGTTATCATCGCACGGTAGCGCTCGCCATTCACAGTTACGTTCCGGCCATTGTCGTCTTTGAAGAAGTACGGCCCGATGATGCCACCGGCCCATAATCCACACCAAACAGTGATTTTTTCGGGATACATTGGTAGCTCTTGCAATGATTCTGGCTGGTCTTCACTCCAGATGTGGCAATTTTGCTTGTTAACGTACCCATTCAACCAGAAATGAGCTTCGTCGCTGAACACAATTTTTCGATAAAAATGTGGATCTTCCTCCAACTTTGCCAGCGCCCATTCACCAAATGGGAAACGTTGTGGGAGGTCGTGTGGCTTCAATTCTTGCACCAGGTTTTTCACCCAAATCCTGTCGCAAAATTTTCCACGTAGTGGAGTAACAGAGGCCCAATTGCTGCGAACGGCGGCGAATCGACATTTCACGGTCATCACTAACACTGGCGGATACAACCGCAATATTTTCTTCAGTCCTCACTCTACGTCTGAGTGTTGGAGGTTTAATGTCCAATAATGTAAACTGGGTTCGAAATTTTGTCACAAGCTTCCGAATAGCTCCCTCAGTAGGCCGACCAAATTGCCCATAAATTGGAAGCAGTGCTCGAAGCATTCTCTTAACCGAGCATGAATTTTGATAGTAAAATTCAATAATTTGCAAGCGTTGTTCGTTCGTAAGTCGATTCATGGTTAAATTATAGACCAAACTGAACAAGTTTGACAATGACACAAGACACGATTCACGCGTCATCTGTCAAAAACAGAGTTGCCAAAAAAATCACCCATTATATAAAACAAATACATAATTTTTAAATGACTAACGACAAAAATCACAGAGTTACACTTCTTTTTCGGTTTAATACCTTCATTCATACCATCTCCTTATTCCTGCTGGTATAAGTATCTACATAGATACTTCCCATTATTAATTTTTCCCATTATCTTTTTTCAATTTAAAAGAGAATTTCAAAAGATTAGTGACAACTAAAAGTGGTCCAGCTAGTGCGAGTAAAATCGAAGCCTGTCTATTAAAAAAATTCCTTTTAAGTGCTCAATGGAACCGATTTCATGGGAGACAGACTAAGGATCTTACTATTTGAGGAAGTAGAGTCATACTAGCAAATATCTAGGAATAGTAATTAAAATTGCAGTATTGAGGAAAAAATGTTTCCACTATCTGAACAAGTGCACTGCACCAGGACGTGGTAGATGCCTAAGCTACTGTTTACAATTGGAGGTAACGGAGAATGCAAAGCCAATGAGACCAGGGGTGCGATTTAGGGGAGGGGCCCTGCTTAGGACAGTTTCCTCTAAAAAATTTCATCAAAATCCGATGTATCTTAAAACATATACAGGGGTCAAAGTTTAAGCGGTCAGACAGACCGACAGAAATGACATGGTTTACCTTGACGTACATGTCATGTAACGTCCAAAAACGGGATACTTTATTTTAGAAAGTATTCGAGATAATTTCCCGCCAGTGACTTAGGAAGTAAACATCACACCAGGCAGAAAATAATTATTTACAACTATAAAAGATTGAATTGTGGCCTGTACCTCGATGAACAAATGCTTAACGTGTTCACTAAATGTAAACAATTACTATGCGTTTTATTTCAGGTGTTGATGATAAGGTGGAAAGCACGGGACATTTCAAGTACCATCGTAGGTTTCAGAAGAGCTTTTCTTCTGAGCAACTATACGAAGATAAAAGGGCCAAGAAAGATCAGTATTTTTCTTTATCAAGCAGGTCGTCCACTACCTCAACAGGTAAGCTTTTTTCATCGTCCTAAAGTTTGGTACTGATGAAGAATATAATAAAGTTGATGTTAAACATTTTGGGGAGAAATACGCTTGATTTAGAATTGGAGCTTATAGACTAAAACAGATTCATATATATATCATCATCAGTCGCTCCTTCTTTGATCGACACATTTGAGAACAAAACTCAGACCTACGAAAGTAAGAACCTTCAGGTTCAAAACGAAATACTTAAGTATACTCGAATAACACTCAAAGTTGAAGTTCTAGCTGGCCCTTTTCAGTATTCATGATAAATTGTGCCTTGCCTCCAACGTTTTCCATTCTTCAATGTTGTCTTAGATATGACACCTTGATAGCAAACATTAGTTCAGACTCAGCACTCAAAACACTAACTGGATTGAATTAAATTAGGACTACTTCACAACTGTCGCGACATACCAACGTTGAGGTACGTCATAATCAAAAATATACCTAGATACATATTATGACTAACTATAGAACGTTAGCGTTATAACAGTGAAAATATCTTAATTATTTTTTCAGAATCTACTCGTAGTGGTATCTGGAACCGTGACATGCGTTCCGGTATACCAATCCCGATAAGCAGTGATATCAAGCTCAGACTACGTACCAATAACGCTTCCACGAATATGGGTGCCAGCGCGGGTCCCGTTATTGCTCACAGGTAAGTACCCTGTGACCTTTGTTTTCTGACGGACTGATAAGTGATTGCACCCGCATGCAAGCAATGTGGTGGTTCTGCTGTTCTGCTGACAAAAGCAAGACAGTTTTAAATAAGTATTCATACCTGTATCATTTCCTGGGGCAAGAATGTGAGATAATAAAATAAGGCACACACATGTGCCCGACATCGAAGATTTTACTCTCGTCCTTTGAAATGCATGTTCAAAACGTTAAGCGAGTATTTGCATCACCATTGGATACGTTATAGACGCCGTATTTTCTCAGCAACCTCAAAACGGCATGCATTTTTGGGAACGAGGATCTGTTAACCCTGTTTCAGTGGAACAAATTACTAAGGAAGCACCTAGCTGCTCTTTTAAATAGCTGAAAACAAGAACATGCATGCATTTTTATCACGATTCTTCTATTTTGTGTATATGTTTCTAGTCTGAGTCTTCCATTCCTGGGGTAACAATGATTCAAAAAACAATAAATCCCTAAAGGTTTCTTTAACAGCACAGGTCAACGGACAAGCGAATAATTCGATTTTTGATTATCCAGTAAGTATTTGGAAGTCACGCATTATAGAAAACATTTTACGCTTAGTCTAAACTCATTCTAGTGATATATGCCCTTGCCGCGATTTTTGTGAGTACATATTTTGAAATTAGTTACACGTAGGTACATGTGGAGTGCAAATTAATTAGCTTTATTTTACTCTTTCGTTAACTTTGCGTGTTCGTTTACTTTCTAAACCAACCCCATATGTGAAATTCGCTTTCATTCAAATGCTTAACGCGCGCTTCTACGATACAAACATTCCAACATGACTTGGCAACCACGCGATATAGTACAAGTAAGCTAAGAAGAGTGTGAAGGTCGAAGCATATAAGTTGAATGTGGGAAAAAGTAATAAATATTTTATGAAAATGTATTTAACACTATTTAATAAATAATGAGTCATAATTGTGGGAATGATAGAATTCACCATTCGTAGCTAAAAGAGGTGAAGCATCAGCAGGGCCGTCTTAGGAGTTTTGTTAAGCACTAGGCGAGTGTATTGCTAGGTGACTTTAGTGCAACATATTAGAGGCCGCATATCACATACTACTCAAATTGTAATTACGCATTTCTCGCGGGTGCGGCAACATACCTTCCTATTTTAAAATGAGTACTACTTTTTGAGCGGAGCTGGTCCTTACAAGATTGCAATTATGCAGGAGCTTCCTGAACGGGACTTCAATTCTCAGGTGAACGCGTGTGAGCGTCTTCTCGATGTGGTTCCAGAGGACGTCATTGTTTTTTTCTCAGTGCCAAAGAAGATTTTCATTTGTATGTATCAAGGAACAAAACATGCGCTACTGAGCTGACACCAATCCTCGAGAATTGCATCAAACCCCTTTGCATTCAGCTAAAGTCACAGTGTGGTGTGCAGTTTTCTCAGCTGGAATTACTGGTCCCTGGTTCCTTGAGGAAAATGATGTCGCAATGACAGCGAATTCGAACCAGTATGTAAACGTGTTACAGACATTCTTTTTCCAAAGCTAGGTGAGTTGGGATTAGGGGACATTTGGATCCAAAAAGACGATGCAACGGTACAAACTGGGCACATACTTCAAGGGCATCAACAGCTGTTTTGAGGGAACATTTCTTTTCAAAACTATGTAAAATAAAACTGTAGCCATGCGCCTACATTATGAAAAACAAATAAAAATGTTTCATACAATGGATTTTATTAAGCTTTGAACAAAAAGCCATGCTGCCACACCCTGTATACTAAACTTGGCATCCGGACCATTGATCAATATTTCTCTATCGACAGCCTGTGTTTGTTTTGACGTGACGTAAATGGAAATATGTACTATATTTTAAAGTAAAAACTTCAAGATGGCGACTGGGCGCCATCCTGTGATGTGTTTTAAGTGAACTGGGAGGTCATGTGGAACTTACTTTATCTTAAGACTCCTCTATATCCCTAGCATATAAAATTACGGCGGACTGGCAGGCTGTCAACGTTTAGTGTTTTCGTACAGTAAATCGCTTACAACTCAGCTACCGATCATCAAAATTGCATTGCACTTTTAGATAGATCCTTTCAAAGTAAGATATGATATGCAAAAAACACACAACTTTGACAGCCTCTCAGCCCTCCATTTTGAAAGATAGTGATTTTATATTATAGGGTTATCAAGTTAAGTGAAGGGTTGCAAAATGAGGTACCATACGACCCCTCATTTTATTTAAAAGAATGTTTTAGAATAACGACCAGTCCTCATCTTAAAATTCGCATCTGTCACTTCTACGCTGAAATATCGGAGTATGAACGCGGCCTAAAGAGGGGTCATAACCAAAGCTATATTTATCTCAACTTTTCACCTTTCTTTGAAGTGTCTCCAGGTACTTTATTAACCTCCTGTAAGTATGAAAATATTACGACTTAGAATATCAACTAACATGTAATTATTTATTCATAAAGTATAATAATAAAAATGAATGGCTACGACTGGTGGTGGCATGTGTTTTACGAGTTGTGATATTTCTATACCGTGAGAAAGCGTGACGTGATCACAGCTTCGTAAATCAAATGTCTCAACGGCGAATAGCATCATAGGATCACGGCGTTAACGTTTGAATGTGCATTAGATGAGCTTCCGCGCCAGATGCTTAGGTCGAACATCGTATACCATCCTAAGACTACTATGGCCTGCAGGAAATATCGCACTTTATGGCTTTGATACCTAGCTCCGTGCGATTTCATCGCGGTATTTTACTGAGAATCTGTATTGGGTCAGTAGATCATCAGTTGATGGAATAGAACATATCAGAAAGTAGCAAAAGTTGTAAAATAGTAGGCATCATAAAGTAATATAATTTGACATTTACACAAGCATGAATAAGTTATTTGAAAGCGTATATACACATAAAATTGAAATGTTGAAGAAAGAGTGGCTACAAAAAAGAGAAAGCTCTGAATGCACCACTTGACCGCAAAATCAATAATTATTAAGCAGATATTGTATCCATAAAATACTGATTCGTAGAGTAGTAAGCCTCCTGTTTTAGCAGAATCTTTGCCCTGTTATTGATGGTAAGATCTTCAGAGTATCCGGCGATCTATTAACCAATTTTATAGCCATTAGCTTTGGGTAGAATATTAATATATCCATAATCTCATCATTATTCAAGAGTCCTGATCAAGTCACGGTTTTAAATCACTGATATCAAACAGTAACGATATCGTATATCACAAATATCCAAAAAGAATGATATTGGCTATATCCAGCTACGGTTGTGTCTCAAGCCAGCTGTAAAGGCGAATTACATATTGTCAGACATGATGATGTTACAATATCAGGAATAAAAATTATATCGATATCCCCAAACCAGAAAAGAATGTTCTACAACGGTCATCTATTTTCTTATGTCCAGGGTGTTTCAATATGATACCACAACAGATACAACAAATACAGTCTATAAGTTGTTTCCACTCAGAAATGGATCTCAAGCCTTCCAGGACATGACATTTCAGAAATGAATGACATCAAGAAAGCATCAATTATAGTCCTAGACCAAAATCTTGACACAATTTGTTACTACATTCAGAAATAAAATGTAAATCTTGAACATACCTTGAAATGACATTTAACAAGGGAATGAAATTTCAAAGCACCACTGTAGCCTTATACTAAATTTTTTGCTTAATTTGTTTCCGTAATTTAGTTAAACTGCACCTTTTATTAAAATTCTGTAAATTTATATGTGTCCTTAATACAAATATTTTACCCGCGCACAATACCCTTCCTTCTGCGGGATTATTTTATTTATTTGCAGATGTTTTAGTTCAACTTCATGAAATGTAATTACATGTCAAAAATTACATCTACATACATATACCTATATTCTGGTAAGTAAATCTATCTACGGAACCATAGGATGTCTATAATTTTACTGGACTATGACGCAACGAATCGTCGCGGTTGGCGCTTCCTGCGAACTCCCATCTAACGACATTTGGCGCCACGACGCCACAAACTATCCACGTAAGTCGTTGGTGGGGGAAGGGTCAGCGTGCCTCCTCCACCGGCCGGTCAGCAGCGGCAATCGATGTTTACATTTTCCGCGGAAAAAGGGAAGGGAAAGCGATTTTGGGGTACGTGATGTGTAGTGCGTGTTAGAGGGTGCGTTGTAGTGCCGTTTTATGTATTAACAGGTGACAGTTCATAGAAGGTTTGATCTGTAGGCACTCATATATCTGAAGTTTATTCTTCCCAGCATATTATGTTATACTTAGGCCCAGGCCGAGGCTCAATTCGCGGACCGATATGGTCGATTCTAGAGGTAGATGGAGTTTCCATATATCTCAGACTTTCGTTAGTGCTATGATTTCGTTTGTTGTCCAAGAGACCAAGGCCTACACCATGCTGAGGAGTAGCCAAAAAGCATGAAACACCTGTCCACAGTTGGCTGACTCTAATCGGAGGGGAGAGCGGAGTATGTCTATTTAAAAAGGTATAATCGTGAAAATACGAGAATCCTTGATTTGTAGGTTTGTTGTACTGCGGCTGGGATATTTACCTTTTTTGACTGGAACATGTGGTGACGTAGGGGGCAGTATCCCCTCATCGCACACTTCTTCAGTAGAACTATTTCATCGTGTTTGTTTTCTTTTGTATGTCCAATGACTAGCCCTATATCGTACTGATAAATACCAAAAAGCATGAAACACGGCTGTTTACGGTTGATTATGGTCTTAGAGACGGAGAGCAACAAATCCTATTCAGCCTGTGGTTGGTTTCTGCAACTTCTGCAAAGTACGTCACAGTGGCGTACGTAAAAGGGGCCGCCGGAGGCCACCCCCACCCCAGGGTAATAAAATGCATCTATGGATACTATATTTTAGCCTAATAGAGGTTGTTGAAGAATTCAAGATGGCGACTGGGCGCCTTTTAATATGATAGTGGTTTTATATTCTAAGGTTATAAAGTACTCATGATGAGCTTC